CTCTCCTCCTCTCTCTCTCTCTCTCTCTCTCTCTCTCTCTCTATCTATCTATCTATCTATCTATCTCTCAGTATACACTAGAAAACCATAACATTAGCATAAATTTCGTGCAACTTCTCCAATCAAAATCTGCCCACAAAATCTGAAGTATTCTACCCCCAGGTAACTGCATGTGATTTATTATTAGTTTTTTTCATTTTGGATTTTAAAATAGCAAAAGACTTTGAAAATATTTTCTGTTTTTTTTTTTTAATGTTCCTCTTTTGTGCATCTATTTGAATTTTTGGTTTTTATTATGTAAAATAATTTCAAAACCCGAAAATGGAGAAAACTAAATATATGTTTGTGCTTTTTTTTTTTTGTATTTTTAGTTTTGATTTTTCAAGGGCTTTTACAAATGGTAAAATCTCAACATGCAAAAAAATATTTATTTATTTATTGATTTTTGCATTTTCAGTTTCTAGGGGCTTTTACAATTTTTATTTTGTAAAAGCACTTAAAAACCAAAAATGAAAAACATGAAAATTTTCTTGTGTATATTTTGTTTTTATCAGTATTATTTTTTAAGATGCGTTTACAATTTTCACTCGTTTTAGTTTTTTCCTTGTTTTGCCATCATTTTTTAATATTTTAAATTAGTGCATTTGTCTGACCGGTGAACTGGTCTAAACCGATAGGTCTGACTACACTAGTGCCTTCACCGGTTCGGTCACCAATCCGGTCCTGAAAACATTGTTATTGTGTCTCAACACAAGCACGAAGAGTTGATCCAAGCAAGTCCTTGGTAAACACACACAGTTTTAAAACCATGTTGTATAGGATGCAAACTTCTATACTTTTGGTAGGATCTGGAAATTCTTTATCATTTTTATATTTAGTCGTGCTTTATTACGGTCCACGACTTTTAGATTTCCTAATTTTTGCTTGAGCTCCATTGTTGGCAGTATTCTGCCCTTTGTTTGCCTCAATAATTACATTTATTTGTGGAACTTAGCTTACAGGTTCTCCGTCAGGCATGATTCCTCGTGTCTTATTGAAAGTTTAATATTAATACGAATCTTCAAAAATATTAATACGAAAGACAGCCCTTTCTAGTAGTCTATTTTATGAACCCTATGCTTGGAAAACTTCAAAGACGTAGAGCATGTTTAATATGTACAAAATGTATTGTTTGTGGGCCTGGCTTCAAGTACTTCAATTTTGCTTGTGCAAGGACTATTGAATATCAGTGTATCTCTTAAATTATGTCTAGTTTTGTGTGCATTGATGTGGTTGGGCCTTGTGCAGCCACTGCTCCTCCTGGCTATGGAGATTCTTTTAACTGAGGAGAATGGATGGGTGGACCTTCGGCAGGGCATAGGAAGGCTAATTAATGCTATTGTAGCAGTCCTTGGTCCTGAACTTGCCCCTGGAAGCACTTTCTTTTCTCGTTGCAAGGTTTGACTGTTTGCTTGTTTCATGTGTATTGTTATAAAATACTTGTAGTTGCACTTAGTATCTAATCCCTTTAGAAATACACGGTATCAGCAAACATTGTCCCTCCTTTCTTGCCTTATTTTCTGGCATTGCTACCAATAAAAGATGCATTGCTATTAATTTGAGTCCAGAATACCCATTTTTTCTGATTTCAGTAAATAAAAATAGTGTTAATTGTGATTTAGGAATTTGGCTGAGACTGCACTATCTTATAAGATTCTTACATGATAATTTGCAACTAATGCAGTCTGTGGTTTCAGAGATAAGTTCTGGACAAGAAACATCAACGTTGTTTGAGTACGTAACATAACTTTCCTCTTCTATGTCAGTCTGTTGGCTTAATAGCATTAATTAAATGCTCATATTCTGGATTATTTTTATCTTGATGACTTATATGTACCTCACGCATGTGACAGGTCGGTTAGGTTCACACAACAACTTGTTCTTTTTGCTCCTCAGGCTCTTTCAGTCCATTCTCATGTTCAAACTCTTCGTTCAACCCTCCCATCTAAACAGGTATGTCACAAATACATGAATGATCTTTTCTAATTATACTGTCCATTCATATATAAGCCTTTAATTTCTCAATTTGTTATGGCTCTGAACAGCCAGCCCTTCGGCAACTTGCTGTATCGACTCTTCGGCATCTCATTGAAAAGGATCCGGTAGGGCATTATTTAATGCAATTTTATATTTTTCAATAGTACTTATGTCGTCTTACTGGTAATTTGAATGTGGTCTTACTGGTAATAAAGACTAAATTCAAATGGAATTTACTTGTCTGTTGGATCTACTTATTCTTTGGTACTTTCCCAATGTCATCTTTAAGCTTTTTGTTTAATATGTTTTCTAACACCTGGTTGGTTGTTGTTTAATTCCCCATGTAATGTGATTGTAACCCCTCTGGCATGTTCATTTTATCAGAAATTCTACAACTAGTTTACAGTATCTTGTCTGAGACCGTTTTCTTGGTCCTCCTTTACTTGGAGTTGACCAAACATGTTGATACTTGATACAAACCGCCCAGTTGCATGGGCAGTAGGGAGTCAAATGTTTTGAAGTAGCAGTTTTTTTTTTTTTTGAAGTGGGAATTGCAAATTTGCCTAGGTTTAAGTCATATGTTATAATCCAGGACTTTGTGCTATGCATGCATATGCCCTCATTAAAGGTAATTAAAATATCACTTCTCATTCTCTGTACCTTACTGTCACATGTTTTGAAATTCTGTTGTGTTTACAATTTCCACTATAGCAATTTGCGCTCATATCTGACCTCTTACTACTGATTTCTATGTGACTAGGTGATTATGAATATGTTATCGTTTAACCTTTTCTCTGAAAAATGTGAGTTGATGTTGTGTTCATATCCTAAATTCCTAATAATAATTCCATGTATTGGCTAGGAAAAAGTTTTGGAGCGTTCATGTTTAGGTGCGGTTTCCATCCAAAATCCATCTTAAAGAAAATTTGGAAGTCGGTGATTTTGACCACCAAGATAATGAATCTGAAAAAAAATAGTGGAATTTAAAAAAAAAAAAAAGACTATTTTAGAAGAATTAAAATTAAGAATCCCAAAATCTTCCAAGAGAAAAAGTTCAGAATTTTTCTATTTTAAAATTTTAGTTTTTTTTTTTTCCTGATTTATTATTGTTGTGGTCGAGACTATCGACTTGTTAAAATTTTAGATCTGAAATCCATTTCTAATGGATTTTGGAAGGAGATTGTACATGAATGAGGTGAGTTGGCCAATGCACCAAACCTCATCGTTGAAGCTTGATTTTTGTGAATTTAGCTTACAGGTATATTTGCAAGGTTAATTCTTTTGTTAGATTTTAATGTACTTTCGCTTGTGCTAAAGATTGAAGTTCTATTCTTGTCTACAAGAAAATAACTAACTTTATTTCGTCAAACCTACTTTTGAACCACATACTAATTGTCCTTTGTGATAGGTTTCCATTGTTGATGAGGGAATAGAGGAAAACCTATTCAGCATGCTCGATGAAGAAACAGATTCAGAGTATGCCTCGTACTCATTTTTTAATCATTTCCGCATTAGAATTTGCAGATATGTTGTTCATTGTTCATAGTGGTAGACTTGTATCGCTTGCATAATGAATTGTTTTAATGGTATCGAAATGATGACTCAATCTTGGTAATGGGGTTTTGTAACTGAAGCAATCTAGTGGCAGGAAGAATTTGAGTTGTTTGTGGAACTTCTGTAGGTAATAAATCTTAATGTTTGTAGTGAAAGTTGGAAAGGATTACAAGGAAATGGAGCTCCTCTCTAGTCTTGGATAATTGGAGGTTCTATGAAGAGAATAATAATGGAAAGTGGAAGTTATGTGAAGAGAATAATAATGCTTTTACTTAGGGGATGATGTCATTAATAGTTAGTCCAATACCCTCACCACCCTACCCAATGTAACCAATGCTAAAGCATCCATGAACACCATTACCCCCTTGTTACACCCAAACCCTTGTTCCCATCTCCAATTTCACTATTGTCCACTATTACCAAATCCTATTCCAATAACTATCATCACTCTGCTTTGTTACTGAAATCATGAAGAATGTGACTACTGTCATTGATGTTGTGGTCTTGTGGCCTTTAAAGACCGTGGGAGCATGTATATAAGAATTATAGTGGATTAAACACCTCAGTGGGAGTGTGTGTGTTAGTTGACTAACGTAGGGTTAGACAATCAATGGCCTTGGTCATGTCCTAAACCCTTAGCTCTAGGCATATTACACTATAGAAAAAGGTTTTCAGATGGTCATTCCTTATTGAGGTCAGAGAGATGTCTAGGGATGGTCTGTAGGCCAGGAAAACTTCGTGATCTCATATGTACATATGTAGGCCTGTGAGAGGGAGGTTAAATCCTCAACAAAATTATGCACGGCAACTACACATGACAGCTGCATTACTAGGAAGCAACCCTAAAAAGATACATGTATATGTGTATAGAGAGAGTCCCCCTTGCATTATAGTAATATGTACATATGACTTGCTTTTAAAGGGGGGAACCTGTAATCGACATTCCGAGACTGTGGTTCCACTATTTATGGCTAACTTTGACGAGCCAATCATGAGCCCTACATGAGATTGTGGGTCATAAGTCTCATTAGGATGGTTTGAGAAGATAGTCCAGGATCACCGTTACTCGGTCTGGTGGAGTGCCCTGACAGTCACTTTTCTTGATCCATTGGTACCAGTCCACTTCTAAATATTTTTGTTTTACAGTGTAATAATTGTTTATGTGAATTTTATAAATTTTTTCAGATTTTCAAAGTTAGTTTCAGATGTAAAAATCCTTGGAAAGGGTGTTTATGAAATTCTGAAACTGTGGAGGGGTGTAGTCGAGCACATTTGGATCCAGCCCACATATGTGCCACACCCATGGGTGGGGCATGGACCTCATGGGGCCCACACCTTACACATGAGGTGGCTTGCCACCCTCCTCTCTCCTTTAGTTTTATTTTTTTAAAAAAAGTTCTTTATGGTTGGTTAGGAAATTTTTTTAAAACGATTATTTTCTTATTTTGAGGGAATTAGTTTTCAAAAATGTCTTTGACCAAATTTTTTATGTTTTGAATTCCTACAATCTTGTGAAAGATATGGGAGTTCTAGAAAATTAGATTTAGATTGGTTTTAGTCTAATATGACTAGAAGCGGATATGGGTCTAATAATCAGGGGATAAGATTTCTTGAATTCCTCCCTAAATTATGACGGCTGATTCATGGGATGGATGGCTTAGATTTAATCCTCTCACCTCACAGACATCCTAAAATCCTATTGGTCATGATGAGTTACAATTTTGGATAGGCATACGTAGGGCCTTTGAGGCCTGTAAGAGGGGGGGGGACCCCGATTTCCATACACTATTTTTCTAGCCTCTCTTTCTCTCTCTCTCTCTCTCTATATATATATATATATATATATATATATCCACACCCTACTCTCTCTCTTCTCTCTCTAGGTGGCTCGCCACCCTCCATAAGGCTGTAGGAGGCTGTAGGGGTGGCACGCACCACCCTATAGATAGAAATGGGACACACACAGCCCTAGTAAGTTAGGAGAGGTGCTACACAAGGGTCTAGAAATTTGTGTTTATGCTCGCTAAAACCCAAGTTCTGTGAGGTATTCCTTGGGTAGCTTATTGGCTCAGAAAATTCAGCGAGGCCAATAAGATCAGTGTGCGCCGTAAAATCCTAAAAGTATTAAAAAGAAAACCTTAAAATCCGTAAAAAACTTAGAAATCCTAAAAGAAATCCTTAAATTAAAATTAAAATATTCATCCTTTGAAATTAAGCAAACATTTAAAATAAAATAATTTTATTCTGCATACCAATAAAACTGAAGGGGAAGTTCTATAAGATCGCTGTAAGATCAACAATGCTTTATGGGATGGAATGTTGGGCAGTCAAGAAACAACAAATCTATAGAATGAGTGTAGCTGAGATGAGGATGTTGAGATGGATGAGTGACCAGGCAAAGAAAGATAGAGTTCGAATTGAACATATATGAGAGAACTTATGCTTGAATTCAATAAGCAATAAGATAGGGAAAGTAGACTTGGTGGTCTGCCCATATGCGGCATCGACCTAAAACAGCACCGGTTAGGAGGGACGATTTAGTTTAAATGGAAGGCTCTAAAACTGCAAGGAGAAAGCTCGAAAGGACATGGAAGGATGTAATGAGAAGAGATATGGTGACTTATAGTTCGACTGTGGGTATGGCTCGCGATAGAGTGGAGCGGTGGAACAATATTGGTGTAGCGGACCCCAAATACTTGGGATAAGGCTCGAATGATGATGATGATGATGAGTTTTGTTTTGCATCAATTTCGCTTTTAAAACTCTAACCAAAACTCTCTTTCTTCCTTGATCTTTAAACCCTAATCTTACGGTCTACTCACGTTGTTCACTCATCTTCTTCTGACCCATTTCACCGAATCTACTTCATGTCAACTTTTGTTAACCCATCTCTTGCCCTAACTCATTCCAAACGAACTTGATGGTACCAAGTTCCTGGTTTGAAAGTCAAATTGTCCGCTTACTCAAGAACATGATCTTTTGGGACACCTTGATAGACCATTTCCTATCCCATTGGAATTTTTACTTCGTGAAGAAGAATGAGAATGGTGACAGCAAGATAGTGGCAGTTTTGAATCTTGGCTGTCCCATGGATTAAGAGTGGTTAAACTTTGGTTGCATGCATCACCTCTACACTTTCACAGGAATTGTTGCTTTAATTGGCTGCCATAGAATTATGGGAGCTTTTACACAAGTCCTACTCTCAAGCTTCCAATGCACGACTTTATCAATTGGAGGTCGATCTTCAAAATAGCAAGCATAACTTGTCCTCCATCACTGAGTACCTAACAAGTCCAAGTTTCTGCAAAACCAGTGGGTGGTATAGGAAATCCTCTGTTCTAACACAATAAGATAATGCAAACATTAGTTCGACTTGGACCAGAATACAATATGTTCATCATTTTGATAACCATGCGTGTTCCCCAACTCTTCTTTGATGAACTCTGGCCTTTATTACTTCAGTATGAATCACTGTTTATCATCCAAATCACATCTCAAGGAGGATATGCCGGCAGACACTCATGAAGTATTGAATACGTCATCAGGAAATATTCGTGGCAGAGGCCATGAAAGAAAGCTGGTCATGGACTTTTGCCTCTCCTTCTTCAACAGGTTCTCAGCCTACTTAGAGTGGTCTTGTGATTTGCCAACTGTGTAGCAGCATTTGATAATACATTAAATGCTTTATCTTTGGGACAGGCGCTTCAGCTTCTCCAAGATAGGAAGGGCTTCATCCGCCATCCATGGACAGCATGAAGCCCTAACTGCTGCTATGTCTCAGCTCAATGTGCACGCTTTTGATAATGATTCTTGGATCCTGGATTCACGCACAGCAAGCCATTCCAAATAAGCTCTCTATTTTTCCCCTTATCGAGGAAAAGGTACGCTAGTTACTGGTGATAGTAAGATCCACTTTATCACACAGTTAGGAGCTACATCGATTTCCAGTCCTCGCTCCCTGCATCTATGTAACACTTTACTCGTGCCTCATATCAAATGTAATTTGATTTCTGTGCCACAACTAGCTGATCAGTCACATGGTTGTGTTGCTTTTTCTGTGTCATCTGTTTTCATGAAGGATCTTCACACGAACAGGATATATGTTGAAGGGAAGAAATGTACGGATCTTTACATAGTGGATGAAGCTTGAAATTCCTCGAAGGTGTCAATGTCCGTTTTTATGTGTATGTCTCCAATACTAGTGCTGCTGATTTGTGGCATTGCTGCTTGGGTCATTGTCATTTTGGTTTGCCTCACAATCTATATGTAAATGGACTATTGCTGTTCTTGTAGAAGTCCACAATTAAAGTCTCTCTGTGTCCTTGCTGTCAAGTATGTAAAAGTCATGGCTCTCATTACTTAGTCATAATAAAAGAGCTTCATACCTCTTTGAATTAGAAAACTGATGTTTTGGAGCCATCCTCTAGGAGTTCTTTGTCAATTTCACTTTTTTGCTACTTTTATTGATGACCACAGTTGTTTTATGTGGATATTTTTTTCATAAGTCTAAACCTGAAGTCTGTAATTTCGTTTGCTAAAAGCTTATGTTGAAACCTATTTTTCTTCAAAAATCATTCATCTCCAAAGTGATGGTGGGGATGAAACACTTCCAACGCCTTTACTAGATTTCTCCTCGATAATGGGATAACATGCTAAAAGTCTTACCCACACACACCTGCACAAAATGGTATCGCTGAACAAAGGACGGGAATATGATCAAAATTGCCCTCTCCATGATGCATTAGAGTGGATTGAGAGTAAACCTTTGGACCAAGGTGTTTCATACAGCTGTTTTTCTTGATTAACAGGCTGCCATTCAATGCACTTTTTCTTTTTCTTTTATTGCTTTTTGGTTTTTTAAGGGGGGCGGTGGTGGGAGGGCATACTCCACTGTTTTATGCTAGATTAAGTCCATCATGATTATTCATGTTTAGGAAATTTTTGATGCATATGCTATGTCCATATTGGAAATCTGTATGCCATAAATTTGAACCAAAAGCTGAAATTTGGAGGCTTGTAGGTATGACGAGTACTATAAAAATTGCATATGTTTGAGCCCTAGAACCAAGAGGATACATATGTTCCGGCATGTTTATTTGAGTGGCCTCCCAGGTGATGAACCAATGGTTCCAGTAAAGATCCAATTACCAATAGCTTTTGCCCATATCTCGATACTCATCAACAACAAAAGCCACTTATCAGTTATCACCTATCAATGCTTGCCAGCTTTGATACTTCCACCTTCTACTTCTGCTTCTATTGATATCACATCACCACCATCTTCTTCAGACATTGCAGCGGCAACTCCTTCAGCTGAACCTTCTTGTGATGAAGTGTGATCCACACATATAAGACACCTCCTTAAATAAAATGGGTGAATTGAGTCATTTTCCCTTGACTATCAGGTTCTTCTCTCCATAGTACATCATGTAGAACCCAAACACTATCTCCAGGCTTGTAAATGTCACCAGACTTACTATTGGTCAGAAAAGTTATCATCATTATCGTCAGATAACGGATTCGTGGAAATTTTTGGCGAAGTTTTACATTGGCGGCCTACCTTAAACAACCCACCCCTTTTGCCCGGGCTTGGTCGGAAAAGTACATAGTCAAAAATATTTTCTAGTTTCAATTGGAAATGCATTTTTTGTCCTAAATATCTAGCTATGAGATGGATGTTATGAGGTGGCTAAATAATATTTTATATGCAGCGCTCACAAAATGGAATTATAATATTGTAGGATCGGAAATTTGGTGTGCTCAACAATTATACGACTGCTCTATGCGTCATGCCCTATGCGTCCCTACCGTTGGATAGAAATATGTCGTAATGTGGTAAGGCTTTTTGTCCTCTCCAAGAAATTATAATGCATAATCTAGCAATGTAGCACCAAATATTGAGTGACACTCTCTAGGCTTCTCATATGTGATTTCTTTACAAGTTTTGTGCTGCTTAGTTTTCTCTGTGATGTTTCAAGTAACTGGAACATCATCCATAGACCATGTCGTTCTCATTTAAGGGTTTAAACTTCTTTTGTTTCTTCTTTTTCCCAGTACTTGAAAGTATTTTTTGGACCGCATATTATTTTAACATCTTGCCTCTTCCCCGCTGACAAGAAGCAAATCTAGCACCAAAGCACAAGACCACACTGCTGTTTTCCTTCATTGAAGACTATTTGTTTTATCTCCTTCTTAGCTTTACTTTGGCTGCCCGAAATCCTTTTGCAGTTGACAACATCCATATCATTCCAATTGTTTGTAATCCGACGCTCTTTGGACTGTACTTAATGTGTATTCAGAAATTGTTCCACCTATTTTATCTACATGTGGACAATCTATTTATTGCTTGCAATTTAAGCTTGTGAATTAGATGGTTTGTATCTCATACTCGGCTCTTATTAATTCAGAATAAGTGAAACCTTATATTCGATGGAAAAGGATAGTAAATGTGTAGCTATCACATTTAGCACATTTTGGTGGGCTTATTTGTGACCCATTTGGTATCATACTTGTTAATTTTTCTGCAGTCCTGATTACGTGCATATTGTCTACAGTAACTTCACGTTGCATTGGTGTCTTAGCTTAGGAGCATAGTATTTAATGTTTTAGATGTGTTGCTTCCTTGGCATTCTAAATCTCTGGAATAAGAAAATGAGTGCTTTTTCTATAATCTCACTTACATCCAACAAACGAGATTTTGCATATGTAGTTATATTGTGGGCCATCCAGTTCCCTATAATCTTTTTTTTTTTAATTGCTTAGTCCTTATGCTTGATGATCTTGCTATATCATTCATTTGGAATTTTTACTCTCTTCGTCTTCCTCCAATTTTTTTAGCTGATATCACTGTAAAATGAAACATCACTATTCTAACTCATGGACTGCCCACTAATAATTTTTAAGCAACCCATGCTTTGTCTCCATTTCAGTAGGAGTTCCAAATCTAATGTACTAAGTATAATGCAGGTTCTTACAACATCTGCAAAGCGGACTACTGCTCAAACTGTAAACATAAATTCTGATAGTGATTCCAAAATGTATTATGGAGAAGATGATGAAGATATGATTACTAGCTCTAGAAATGGACATGTGCCAGATTCAAGCAAAGCAAATTTGAAAAATGACATGCATCTGCGTTATCGAACCCGTGTTTTCGCTGCAGAGTATGTGAATATGTTTTTCACTACAATTCATTATCCTTGTTTGCAGATTGTACTTCCATTTGTAATGTTTTTCTTTTGCCTGATATTTGTTTTTTCATCTAGTTTTTGTTATCTGTTTCACCCAAGCCACACGTAATAAGCATAACTTTTATATCTTGTTGACTGGGTTCCAAGTGCCCACAAGGTTGGCAGATCAATTGATGGGCTCAGACTTGGAGCATTGCCCCTTCTGTATATTCATTCTTCTTGCTTAAGTTAGAGCTCCCAACCTTAGATTTTTATTTAAATGTTTCTCTTACGAACCATACATAAAGCAAGGATTTCAGCTTTAGTTCCCAAGAAGAACATGATGCTAACTAGTGCCTGCCTTGAGCCATAATCTGATCAATGGAGTTAACTATTGGCATACACTTTCTCCAAAGAAAAGGTATGCTTGAATCTTGTCCTACCAAAAAAAAAGCTAACTCTGGTTCTTGCATCTTATGATGAGTAATGGACAAGAGTAAACCTATTTATCATTGTGATGCATGCCGGATACATGTTTTTTATTATCATGTGAAGCTTAGGTGGTGGAATCTCAGTATAGGTTCATCTACCAAGCCAATTAAATCTGTAATAAGGTTGTCACACCTTCCATGAAGGGATACATCAGCTTAAGGGAGGAAAACAGAACTTGTGTCCGTATTGTATACAATAATATTGAATGTCTACGAGTAGTTGGGAAATATTTCTTCGGATACTCAGTAATTGATGTCAGTGATCATTACGGAACTGGCATTCATGTTGTGCTTGTGGATCCCATGAAATCTTTGTTGTTCGGTTGCTGGTTTGTATTATATACCTTTTTGTTTTAGAAAGAAATCATCCATTAAGTTAGTTGTTAATTATATCAATCAAAGATACTTTAGAGAACTCTTGGTTGTTGGTTGTTTTATGCACTTTCCTTTTTGGTTAAGAACTTTTATTGGTTTTGTTTGTTGGATAGTTTGGTGTCTTGTGATGTCTTTATTACTTTCTCTGACAGAACTTATCTTCTATGCAGGTGCTTGAATCATCTTCCTCTTGCAGTTGGAGCAGATCCTGCACATTTTGACCTCTCTTTGGCAAGAGCTCGTCTGCTTGATGATGGGGGTGCAACCACCAATTATTGGCTAGTATTGCACATCCAGGAGCTAGTAGCACTTGCTTATCAGGTACAATATGTAGTCATAAAATTTAATTTCTTAAGTTAACTGTTTCTCAAAAAAAAAAAAATGTTTCTTTCTCTTTATTTTTTGATGTCTACATTCAAGTTCTCTAGTCTTACAAGTATCTTGAAATGTCTCTTTTGTACAGATAAGCACCAGCCAGTTGGAGAACATGCAACCATTAGGAGTTACACTTTTAAGTACCATTATGGAGAAGGTACACTTTACTAGTTGGTGGCCTGATGTTACTGTTTCTCGTAGTGTTATCTGTTTGAACCTTCCTAATATGAAGGTTACAAATAGTAGAGGCATGTTATTGTGTCTTCAATGAGTGGAAGTGGAAGTTCTCAATTGTTTCAATAATTTGAGGTTTCTGCATTTTTTTTTAATTAAGTAGTATTTCTTAGCTTTTGTGATAACTAGAAATTCCTCCCACTTGTCCTTATGTATAATATAAGATGAAGCAAGTGAGGCTTTTTCTTTTTAGTTTACTCCAGTTAATAATCTTTCAAAATTTTGCTAGATTTACATAATACCACCATCTGTCTATCTTGCATCACACTTCTTCCACTCCACTGCAAATATTTCTTAGGGATTTCTGATGAGAATAGATCCTACTGGTATATTTTCACAATCACTTGCATCACTTCCTCCAAATAGATTCATTGCATATAGACAGGGAAAACCTAATTCATCTTAAACTGCGTTACCTACTGTGGTATTATTCATGCTTGTTCTCCCTTTGATATTTTCTCTAGAATAAAAATTTCGCAATCTATTTTATGTATTATATAGTTGTCTTGGATCCCTGAGCATTTGGAGCATTGTGCGTTTCAAATTTATTTGTTGTTCATAATATTATTATTGACATGATAATTAAACTGTAAAAGGAATTGGGATTTAGGTATTTGTTTACATACATCCCTGGGCATGAAGAACTAATTAGTCTCAAACATCTGGCTTTTATATGTGAAGTTGTTGCTTGGTGATGTAAAAGGTTTGCTATTCCTTTTAAAAACCATTGTGAACTGGCCAGATAGGAGGAGAGTTAAGCCACAACCTCGTGGGAGAACTGCTAATATTCCTGAAGGACCAATTTTGGGCAGAATATTAGGATTTCTTGTGAAAGTCTCTTGCTTTGTATGTTTTAATGATATATTATTTGTTTTACATACTCTAGTCAAATAATATCTTTAGTGAAATAGTTGATTGATATTCATTGTGGTGATATTCATCTTAGCATTACTGACATCCCTATATTTGTAACATGGGACGTTGTTGTTCCATTCTGAAATTGATTATTCAATTTGACTTTAATTTTTTCTTGTCAGTTTGAGAGTGCGCCAGATCCAGAGCTTCCCGGACACCTTCTGATGGAACAATATCAGGTGTGCCTCAGGTTTACCTATCAAATTTCCCTTTCAACTGTAATGTAATCAAATTGCAGTACACAAATCATACTGTTATGTTAAATTGTGTTTTGGAGCTGCTAAGATCATGTTGTGTTGGATTATATGCCTAGAGAACACTGTTTTCCATGTTCAAGAATTTATCTCTTGGACTATAAGTCCAATTAACCATTTAATTTTATTAAGATATGTTCCCTTCGAAATGTAGGCTCAGCTTGTTTCTGCTGTTAGAACTGCCCTGGATGTATCTGTCGGCCCTGTTCTTCTAGAATCAGGCCTGCAGCTAGCCACAAAGGTAGAAAATTGGACTTTTTATTTTTGAGTTTCAAGAGTTTATTTAGAAGTTGTGTTATTCAGTTTGCAATAATTTTTGTACTTAAAATCCCAGATTCTAACAAGCAACATCACCAGTGGGGATCGGGTTGCAGTTCAACGATTATACTCGTTGATCTCAAGGCCTTTGGATGACTTTAAAGATCTCTACTATCCATCATTCGCTGAATGGGTTGTTTGCAAGGTCTGAATTGTCTGTAACTCCTATCACCATGTTATCATTTATTGTAGTTTTTTTGTATTTTATGGTAGGTTTTTTGTCCCATCGTTGTTGCAGTATGCCCTTGCTTATCAACTGTGCATACAAATGTATGATGAATTTGAGGTAAAAATGGTTGATAATATCTTTTCAGATAAAGATACGGCTTCTTGCAGCCCATGCTTCTGTCAAATGTTACACTTATAACTACTTGAGAACGGAGCCTTACAAGCTTCCTGATGAATATGCTCTATTGCTACCACTTTTCTCAAAGAGGTCAAGCATTCTTGGAAAATACTGGATGCAGATACTTAAGGACTATAGCTTCATTCTCTTTGGTTTCCAGTCTGAAAGTAATGTAAGTTTCTATATCTGTTAATGATACCAAAAATTATGACAGGATTATTCCCCTATAACTTCTTGTGTATTTTTTTCTTTCCAGTACAAGCCATTTCTAGATGGTATTGAATCTCCATTGGTTTCATCAATGGTGCGACCATGTCTAAATGAAGCCTGGCCGGTAGTTCTACAAGCAGTTACTTTGGATTGTGCTCCTATGCAATCTGAACGTGATGGATATCCCGATTCTGGTGCAGAGCATTCATTTGACAAGAATGCTGATATATCTGGATACAACAAATTCAGATTAGACAGCCTGGAATTTAATTTCCTCTGGGGCTTTGCATTACTTACACTATTTCTGGGCCAACAACGAAGAGAGGAGAAAAAAGTTCTGCGGTTTATTAATTCCAGTAAATTTGTCAGTGGAGATCTATTAGCTGAAGAGCTGAACCGTTTTAGAGAGAAACTATTTGAAGTTGCCTTGATTGCTGTAAAATCTCTTTCGACTAATTTGTTTTATGATAAGCAAATGCTTTCGTTGGACCTCTGCACTGAGCTCTTGCAGGTGCTTTAATTCTTCCCTTTGTGCATGTTTCCTGATTTGGTAGGAAGGTTCGATGTAAACCGCAATGTGCTTCTTGTCTCCTGTGATTGTCTTAGCCAGCATGATGAATAAATTATTAATCTTGATTCTATTGAACAGGAGAAAAATGATTGGTTTGGATTTATTATTAAAGCCACAAGTTTGTTAAAATGAATATAGAATTTCTTTGTTGGTAAAAAATAAATCATAGACTGTCCATGTTCATATATTTTCTGTTCATTGTCAATTTCTAATGTATCGCTGGATACACTATACACTTACTCTATAGGGAAAAGGACCTACTTATGAGGATTTTCTCTATAGAATTACCAGATAAGTACTTTCAAAGGAAGAAAGAAAAAAAGGATTTTAAGTATGATTTTGACTTCCTAAACACTTTGATCTGACCATCCAAATGTTGGATTGTCTCTATTCAATCTTAGGACGTTATTTTTTTTAGGTTCATGTGAAGTCTGTATGATTTTCTTTGTATATGTTTTTTGGAGATTGGGTGCGTAGTTGAGGAGGTTGCATCCCCAAATTTGGGGGTTCTAAAAATTCTCCTAAACAGGGTTTTTCACCGAGGGAGTGAATGTACCATATGCTCCCGAGGGAGCATGTAAACTTTTTTACCTTTAATGTGGAAGCTTACATTTTTTTTATGCATGCAGGTTGTATTGCATCTTGCTGATGTGGGAGAATCAAGGATTATTATTCTTATTTTATCCATTTTATCACAGGTAAAGCTTTAACAGTGCCTGCCTTTACAGTTGTCTTTCTTGAACATTTGTGTCAAATATCACGTAACAGCTTTGAACTCAACCATACATGACCATTTCTCACTTGTATATTTGTTAACTTTGTTTGTCAATTTCATTTCTGAAATATGTGGCTATGTGAAATTGAAGGCTATAAATTCAAAAAAAAATCTCCTTTTCTTTATTATCGAATCTGAATTCCACTAATAAGTGCCACAATACACTGTTGTAAATGATTATTAAAACCCTAAATACAATTTTGGACCTTTGTAGACACAATCCAGGAATAAAAAATGAGCTTCTGCTATCAATTTAAGAAAAAATAATAGTCCTGGAAAGACAAAGTATATATGCAAATAAGACTGAAAAATAACACAAATCATTGGATTATGCCTAGGGTGTCCCCATAGGACTCAGTGCTCCCCACACCTGATTTCATGACCGATAGCGCACTTCAATCCTATTGGTCTTGTTGAATTTCCAGAACCGGGAAGTTTCATTAAGCATTAGAAAACCCCTTTAGAACAAACTACGGCATACCATGAAAATACATCTCTTTCCAGGTTGCACGTACCCCCGTCTCTACAATGAAACCCTAATTAGGGTGGTGTGGCCCCCCTCCCCCCTTTAATTTTTTATGGGGTGACGTATCACCTAGAGAGAGAGAGGATAGATAAGAACAAAGATGAGAAAGAGAATTTTGGGGCATGTAGGAAAGAGGAAATTAGGGGAGAGAGAGAGAGAGAGGCTCCAATTTTGTGTTTTGAGAAGAGGATTGACCTCCTTGTATGGGCCTCAAGACCCTACCCTTAGGTATGCCTATCCAATGGGGCTCACCTCCATATTTTTAGAATTACATTTTTAAAGTAATTTGCAGCAGAAATAAATTTTAAAAATGCTGAAAATTTTATAAAATTCATATTAACATATCTGATATTGAAAATATCTATAAGTGGATTGGTACCGATGGATCAAACTAAGTCACTATAAGGGCACTCCACCTGACCCAGTGACCATGATCTATAACTGTCTTCTCAAACCGAACGAAACCCATGACTAACTGTCTCATGTAAGGTTCATGATTGGCTCGTCCCCCCCTCCCCAACCCCTTTTTTTTATGAGCAAGCTAAGCGCATGTCACTCAAATGCAAAGCGGGACTCTTGCTATGGAAATGTACACGTATCCCTTTTCAGGGTTGCTTCTCGCTAATGTAGCTGTTATATATACATGCCATGTGGAAGTTTGTTGAGGATTTAGCCTCAGCTTTCATAGGCTTATATCCATATATAGGAGACCACACAGCTCTCCTAGCCTACAAACTATCCCTTGGCTTCTCTCTGACCTTGACAAGAGATGACCTTCTATAAACCCTTTTTGGTAGTGTCACATGCCTAGAGGTAAGGGCTTCGAACATGACCAGAGCTATAGACCGCCTAGCCCTTGGTCAGTCAAACAATACACACTCCCACTGAAAAGTATAATCCATTATAGATGTCTTTTACATGCTACAAACCCCATTCTGGGCATGTTACTTAATAGTTTGTATGTTTCTGCTTTTTTCATGACTTCATTGTAAACTGCATTGTTTCTCTCAACAGATTATGTGCTACTGCCCAGGCGATTACTTTGAGAGTGAAGAGTTTTCCTTTGCTACAATGGAGCTCTGTGTTAAATATGTTCATCAATGTCCTCAAAGGTAGTTTCCTTAGTAAATATTGCCTTGGTCATATTCATTCCATGAGCTCACATTGTCAATATATCCATTGTTCACTGATTGGATTTGTGATCTTAGCTTAGATTACACCACCTGCAGTGATCTATGCTCTATGCATATTATTTCATTTCATTACATAGTAAGATATATATGATTTTCAAGTGTTAGAAATAAGTGAATCGTTTGGTTCTGGTGTCAGCTCTTTATCACAAGATGCCCCAGGTCATAGAGAACTGATGTCTGCCGCGTGTGAACTGGTCGAGACTACTCTTCGTCGCTTGAGGCCTGAGGTTTGTCAAGAACTCCCTTGTGGCTTGTCTATCTTCTCTTTCTTCCAATATATTTTGATCATCATTTTTTTTCTCTTTTTATGATTCTTAGTATCAGTATCTTCTTGTACAACTACGGGTAGAAGATGTTTTCTTGTTCAATGGGGTTTTTGATTGCTTGATCCTAGTCAAGGAGTTTATATGTCCTACTGAAACTCAATTCACTTTCTAGAATTACCGTTTGATTTTTGATCTGTATAGTCTACATTTGTACAAAATGTTAATTACCTATCTCTTTATGATCGTGTGTAATCTGCATCGAACTGCAGGAGTGTAGAAAGGTGCTGTTGGCTTTATTGTCTGCTAGTCACTCTCATCTTAAAGATGCATCATGTCCTTCACCCATTTCAGCTGTAATTGCTTTCATACAGAAGATCACAGCTTTGTTACGGAAATATTTTGAAGGTAAACTTTCTTTTGCAGTTAATTATAATTTCTGGATATCGCTGAAACTTTACTTCTCTAGGTTATAAAGTCTGCCCTTGTCCAATGTGTACAAGATTATGCATTTCTATCTTGTAATCTTTACAAAGATTTTGAAGAAACCAGAATCCTTTTTTGTTGTAACTTGCTATAAAATATTTAGGCAGCTCAAACTTGGTAGCAATTGTAGTTGAATTGTAATCAGCTCTTTTCTATTATGTTTTCTTATTCATGGCATGCGCTGCTTCTGTAAGCATCATGTTTTTTCTTCTGAATTTTTTATCGATCTCTTAGGAAATTTGTCTCTCATGTCCACCTGTTTTTCTTATGCATATTTGGTTGCTGTGAATCTGTAAGTCAACATTACTTCCCTTCTCTGATCCTTAGTTAAAGCTAATGTAATGAACTCACAACTAAATGGGAAAGATGATAATGCTCTGATGCTCATCAATATATAGGATGGTATCATCATCTTCATAGCTTTTTCCCAATTAATTGGGTCAGCTGCACGAATCCTGGTCTGCCATTCTGCTCTATTAAAGGTCATACCCTCAATGAAGCCATAAATCCCCATATCTTTCCAAACTACTTCCAACCACATCTTTTTGGGCCTACCCCTTGCCCCTAAATCCTTCCACTTGAACTAACTCGCACTTCAATAAATAAGATGGTATGAAAGGATAAAAGTTGGATTTGATAATATTCAACAGATATATTTTATGTGGTTATCCCCCCTACAAAAGATCCTAACTAGACCAAGAAATATATTTTAATAAAAATAATTTCTAACTTTTTATAACAATTTCAATTTTTTTTTTTTTTGTCATATGCATAGACAGACATTATAATTGTTGTAGGTGAACTGGTTTCATACCTTATTTTTGCATTGCAGTCTATTTTGTCAATTGACATTTATCTGATCCATATGCATGAGGCTGGTTCCTTATTTCTAGATTATTGAAATATATTTTTAACCATTTTGGCTCTTCCAAAGTGGTTAGAGGCAAACCTTGCAATAGAACTGATCTCTAATCTCGCTTTAAAGAAAGAACTAAGTTCTAATCCCATTCCAATGCCTCTTGGTGTGAGGTATCTAATCTAGGAACATAATTTGTGATCTTCCAAACAGTTGTCAAATATACATGTTCCCTTAGTAATCATTATTTATTTCTTTACATGCAGATGAAAGTATCCGTGTTGGTGATGCCAATGCTGATATGGAAACTCTCTTAAAAGCCTGGTCAAGTACCATTATGCATTTGTCTTCACAATGCATCTGGGGTTTCCATATGAATGAGAATAAGAAGAGCAACTCTACTAAAATTCTTTTGGTAAAGCTTTCTGACTGTCTAGAGGAAGCTGTTTCTCTTGCCAAACTAGTTCACAACATACAGCTTCTCCAGCAAACCAAAGTCAGTGAGGGACTAAAATGTTTTAGTGCATACCTTTGTTGCATCAAATGCATCCAATCCACCCTCAATGACTCCAATATGCAGGTAGAATGTTTGGTCGAACTCTTTCTATACAGATCTTGAACGTCTCACTAACATTTAAAGTTCAATAATGAACTAAATGTATGTTCTAATCATCGAGAAACTTCCACCTTTGATAGGTCCAAATAGTCGGATTGCATAAACTTAAAAGTATTGCTCAGAGAGGGCTTGGTGGAAAGGAAGACCATTCATTTATTTTGTTTTTAGTCGGGGAGCTCTTTGGGGATATTTTCTCCTTGATTCAAAACGCATTACAGGTATATTCAGTTCAAATTTCAGGTTCAGACCATGCTCAGTTTAGATTGCAATTGTGATATGTAAAAAAGGATGTTGTTCTCTCTTATAGCAGAAACCAATGACCATGGAATCAGTGGCAGTCATTAGCGAGTGTCTGAAACTATTTGTTCTTATGCACAATTTGTCACAAGCCCGTGAGTGCCAGCAGGATATCCTTAGTCTTCTCCTTCAGGCCATAGTGATGGTCTCCTCAACTTCTTCTGAAGGATATTCTCAGGTACGTAATCTATTATTATTATCTGGTTAGAATACCAATACTGCTGGTGAAATCTATTAGTATTATTTGGTGAAAATATCATAAAAATGAATAAGCATATGATTCTGCTTCTGTACGGTTTGTTTATTTGTCTAATGATAGATGTAAATTTCAGGAGCTTGTCGAGGTTAATAGTATTGCAGAGAAGCTGGTTTCACACCTTGCTCATATTCCTTCCTCTGCAGCCCAATTCAAAGACGTCTTACTTGCAATGCCAGTGACTGTACGACAACAATTGCAGGTATTCTCAGTGTTCACATTTTTTAACAAAAAAAATGGAAACACATGCCATGATCTCTACTGTTTATTCCATCACATGGAAATCCATTAAACTCTCCTTCCTCTTAACTTTTTTGTTGGCTATAAATTTCTGTGAAACTTCTTTGTTGGCTATAAATTTCCATGCTTGTGAGATTGCTTAAGATGACATTTAAAATAAAAGTTAGCCTCCTAAATCTCCTGAAGTGGCTAGTTTCTCCTTTCAGAATGATCCCCAGAACTCTTTGAATAATGCAAAAACTGAGTTGTTTTTCTTGGCTATTTTGACTGATATCCTCTCTCATTTCTTCAAAAATAGATTGTCATATCCTAATTCTAAAAACTGCCGAGTCTGCTTCCATTTTGTCTTACCCAACGTCTTTAATTTATTTATCAGTGACCTCTCAAAAAATTTTCATACCTCAGGATATCATTCGATCTTCAGTCACTTCGGATAACACATCATCACAAGCAAGATCAGATGCTGCTGCACCATTGCCTATGTTACCAATTAGACTACCAATTCAACCCCAAAATATTAGCAACAGTGATGCTCTCCAACCAAGTGATCCAATGTCAAGTATGGTTGCTGATGTGGAAGAGGAAGACGGAGATGATGATGATTGGGACACATTTCAGTCATTTCCTGTGGCTACTGTAGATGCCAATGGTGAGACTGCTGAACATGATAATGGTTCATCTAACTTGGAGAGTAGTGATTATGGGAATAATTTTCTGGGATCCTCTCACACCCAGTCTCTTGAGAATTTGGATGAATCCAATGAGCCTAGCAAGTCTTCTAATTTAGAGGTTAGTGATCATGGAGAAGATACAGTTAAAATTGAAGGAGAGGATGTAAACAAAATTGGAGAGAGAGTGGATATAAACAATACTGAAGGAGAGGATATAAACAAAATTGGAGAAAGGTAGGACATAAAACCTGAGATGATAGAGAGAGAAACTGACAACTAATGGAAATATGGCATGTATCAAGTACCAGATTCCTTCTTAGAGAGGTACATGTAACTAAAGGTTCGTGCATTCCCTGCCTTAAGCCTCTTATCGACCAAGCAATTTTATTTGTTCAGCGATTTGAGAGCCCACTATTTCATTTTCTTCTGAACTTGTGGCACTTTTTGTTTTATTCTGAACATTGGCCTCATTCCCTCTGAGCGCGAGGTGTACCGAAATTTAAAGATTTTCCTAAACTAGGCATTGTTTGAATGGCCCAACAATTTCACCAAGGGAGTCCTTTAGGACTCTGTGAAGTAAGAAATTTCTTTTCAAGGATAGGGTGTTTTGGTAGCGTTTTGCTGATAAGTAGGGTTACTGGAGGTCACAAGTGAGTGATGGAGTGGCCAAGCCGCACCATTCTTTAGTCTTAAATGGTTGGGAGCTGCTCATTTACAAATCGTACGTCACAAATGGTATGTCCAAGTGTGGGCCTATGGGAAGGGCTAGCAATGGGCCAGGTAGCCCAGCCTTGTCGTGGAAAAACTAAGGCCAAGGCTGGGCAATCACGGCCCAAGGGCATGGCATGGGCTGGCCTTTTTTCTTTTTTTCTTTCTTTATGTCTGACTCAGCTCAGTCAGGCCTAGATGACGGCCTCTTTGACCCAGTGTGAGCCTGCCCAGGCTTGGGGTAGCCCTGTAGGGACCAAGGCGGGGGTAGGGCTGGGGCTACGGAAGCCCAGGCCTGCCAGACGTACCTATGGGTTCAAGAAGGCATCATGGATCAGGGCTGCTCTCTGCCTCTTTCACAACGATAACCTGCGTTGAATCAAGAAAACCTGATAGTCGTTCTTTTTCCGTAGGGTAATGTTGCTCAAACTAGCAAAATGGGAATAAGGGGGGAGTATGGGGAAAATAGAAAATAAAGGAAAAACAGAGATCATGGGAAATAATTGAGAACATATTATTTATTTTTGGGAAAAAAATGCATAATTGTTGTGATTTCGTAATACTTTGAAAATGATGGCTGTTATCTTCGTCATTGTTCATTGTTCATTTTTAAGGATCCTGGTAGGAAAAAGTTTATATAAAGTTGCAACCTTATACTATAGAAATAAGGTGTACCTAGAAAAAGTTTATATAAAGTTGCAACCTTATACTATAGAAATAAGGTGTACCTAAGTAGAAAAGCGTGTTATGATGTTGAGAAACCTTCGAATGGGTTGTCTTGATATTTAGATGTTTTGATATAAAGAAAAAAACAATTGTTTTTAGAAATAATGCATTTTGTAATAAGTTATATGGACCATCTATTTTTAGGATTTTATAGTTTTTATAAACATGTTAGATCTGAACTCATTTTTTAAATTTTAAATTTCATAATTGGGTCTGAACATGTATTTTTACGCCATCGTAAAGTTTCTAACACCAACATTGCCTCTTCCAATAAAATTTAGAAGTGTGCCTTACTTGTATAGTATAAGATGGATAGCTTATGTAAGCCCATCCTTGTTACATGACCATGACACTATAACCATGATACTAGGACTATGACCATCTTTTAAGGGAAAAAGTTTATATAGAGCCAAGGCTAACAATCAAATTGAAGCTTATCTCAAAAATTTCACTTGTTTTGATGGCCAAATATCTTCAAATTGATGATCTTGACATAGACATGAAAAAAAAATGGATTTCAAGTTTTGGAAATAGTGTATTTTGTAACATGTTTTTGGACTGTCTATTTTCAAGATTTTCAAGTTTTCATAAGTCTGATTGTTTTTTAAGCTTTAAACTTTATAAATAAATATGAAAATATATTTTAAGACTATTACAAAGATTTTCAGTATTGAAACAACATTTTTTACACTATTTGAAGGTGGGCTTTAATTTGATTGTTTAGAGTCTAGGCTCTATACAAACTGCACCCTCTTTTAATTGCCGTTCTAATGAACAAATATAGTTTGGTGGGGTTGCAGCCCCATAAGTAAAGACCTCACCAAAAGTTGTAGTTTTGGGATAAAAAAACCTTCAAATCAATTATCTTGGCCTTGTCTGTTATTTTGTCTATTATGGCTATCAAAAACGAAAAATTGACTCTAGCCCTAAAAATAGTGTATAATACGTTATTTAAACGCTGCATTTTGCCCTAAAAATAGGTGGATTTGTATGATTTATTGACCTCCAAAATTTATACTCAGTGTTAGAAATTAATTTTAGAGCTATCATGGAGATTTCATATGCCCTTATGCACGAGTATTCATTATGAGCTTTTACTTTGTTTTCATAAAGCCTAGCTTAGGCTTTACCGAAATTGCATACTTTTATAAATTTTTGGCATTTTTTTCCCTATCCTTAATGCACTTGTATACGGTTGGGCGCATTAGCGACATGGCGGCTGCGAATCAAGCCTAGTTAGTTTTATTTATTTATTTTTTTGGAAGTGGCATCGATTACAATATTGGACATGCTAGTTTTATAGTACTATTAAAATTGATTCAAAGTAAATGATGCATATATTGATATCTTAATCATCATGACCAGCAGTATAGCTTTATCCCAACTATTTAGGGTGAGTTGCATATATCATGTTCTATCATTATGCGCTATCAAAGGCCCCATAAGACCATAGTCCTCGTATCCTTTATCGTTGCTTCAATCTACATCTTTTTGGGTCTTCCCCTTGCCTTTTTAGAGTCTTCCACTTGAACCAAATTCTACCTCTTTATCGGTGATGTATTGGGTCTACGCTGCATATGACCAACTCACCTAAGTCTAATTTCCCTCATTTTGTCACCTATTGGAGCCAACCTTAAGTTCTCTCACATACATTCATTCCAAGTTCTATCATTTTTTGTCTTGCCACTCATTCATCTCAACATTCTCATGCTATACTCATTTTATGAGTATCTTGTTTCTTGACTGCTCAATATTCTATCCCATAAAGCAAAGATAGTCTCATAGTTGTCCTATAGAACTTCCCCTTCAATTTCATTGGTATGCAGCAATCACATAAAACTTCGGTTGCACATCTCTACTTCGTCACCCAACTCTAATTCTATGTGCGACATCCTCATCAATCTATCTATTTGTTTGGATTATTGACCCAATATATTGAAAATACTCTCTTTTAAGTAGTCCTTGGCTATCGATTTTAACTACTTCCTCATTTCTATTCCTATTATTACTAAACTTGCATTCCATATGTACAGTCTTAGTCCTGCTAATTTTAAAATTTTTAGATTCTAGAACATCCCTCCATAATTCTAACTTTGCATTGATATCACTTCTAGTCTCATCGATCAAAAATATGTTATCCAATAAATAGCATACACTATGGTACCTCATCTTCATGTGACATGAATATGAAAATAAATATAAATAAACAAAGTGGTGCTAGTGAGGACATTGGTGTTCCACTAAGAGTTCAAATATCCAATGTCAGGATTGACCAAAGTGGGGTTGGTTTGGACGGGTGTTCAAGCTAGTCTCTAGAGCAGTCTAGGAGCTAGTTCGGATACACAATGTTTAAACCGACCCATTTTGGGTTAGTTCTGACATTGGTTGTTCTAATCATCCACTAGAATGTGGTGGGGGCATCTTTAGACAACCAATGTGCAGACTTGCCTTATTTTTGCAACATTGGTTGTGTGGGTTGCCAACATAAATGCTTTAGTGATCGATTCAAACATCCAATGTTTGGACTGACCTTTTATGCACCAAGGGGTCAATTCAGACATTGGGTATCCAAATCACCCACTGAAACATTCCAAGGCTCAAACACCATGTGTCCAAACTAACCCACTTTGTAGAAAGCCAAAAGATAACATGTAAGAATATACTATCCATTTACTCCCTTGCGTTAAATCCACCTATAATTAATTTTAGCCACCTAGAATTAATTTTAGAACCCCAAAATTTGTGAATGTAACATCTTCAACTTATGGATTAACTTCAATAAAAAGTTTCAATTGTGCCCTCTATGCACTGGAAAAAAACAACACCTCGAGATTGAATAGAGATTATTCAATTTTTAGATGGTGAGATTTGAGTGTTAGAAAGCTCAAATTTCTCTTTTTTTTTTTCTTCGAATAATCATCAAGTAATTCTTAAGTAAATCCTTAAATTTCATTTTGAAAAAATGGGCCAAAGTAGCTCTTCTGACCGAGGGAGTAGGAGTGAGTATACGTGCTCTTATAAAAAAAAATCTAAGTACACTTGGTCCAAACTATAATTAGCACGCCGAGGAATAATAAAATATTGGCAAACCAAAACATCGGCAGTCAATTTTATTTCAAAAATTTGTAGGAAAAAAATTAGGTCAAAAATACTGATCCCCAAACAATAAGGTAAGTCATCGATCGTGAATATTTCGGTTTTGGCTAAAAAAATGTAATGAAAAATTCAGATAAGTAAAGATGTCACAATATAAGATTATGCTTTGCAACTATTGTATAGATATATTAAAGCCATTAAACAATAATTTTATATCCTTATTGGTGTCATTAGTATAATATTTGACAATTTGTTGTTGTAACTTTCAATAAATCCAGCAACAATGCTTACTATATTGTCATGACACAAAACATGTCATAGATTTATTGAGAGCATCAAATGAAACAACAACAACAACACTAGACATAAGAACTAATTAGCAAATAACAAGAACCGTGATAGTAAGAAAAAAAAAAAAACAACCTTTATATAGGATTACAGTTAATTAAAAGAAAATGCAAAGACCCAAACATATAAAATAGTGGTCCATCCATAATGCTATGTTGTATACACCAATTAAATAAAAATAAAAATAAAATATAAAATATAAAATTAATCAAACTTCCCTATGCATAAAAAAAGCAACAAAATGATTATCTCACACTGAATTCATAGCAGCATGAATCTCTCTCCTGCTCGTTATAAGGACATTGTGCGTTAAAAGAATAAAACAAAAATATTTTAAATTGGGTTACTCTTATTCGAATTCTACCAATTATTTGGAGATATACGCATGTTTTGATTACTTTTTTTTGGGAAAATATATTGTTTGTATTTTTTCGCACACTTTTTCTTAAGGGGACTCAATGGTGAAACTTTTGATGAATTTTTTTGTTAAATCAAGATTATTAATTGATTCCCACTGTTATTGTACTTATCTTTAAACCAAAATTTTATAATATTAAGTTAATGAAGAAATAAAGTTACAAGGAAGAAATTTTTTTTAGCAGTTTTTTAAAAATATATATAAAATATGGATTTATGAGAACATTGGGTATAGACGCCAATCTCAATCACGCATCCCTACCAAACATTGCTGAAACCTGTTCACCTCATTGCTAATTCTTTTATTACAATAGTTACAAACAATTTTATCAGTTTTAATAGGGTCTTTCTTGACCCCATTGCTGCAATGCATGATCTTATGGGACTTGCTGAACTACATAAACAAGATGTGTATTCCATAGGACTATATTGATCAAAGAGAGGGCCATTTTCGAGTTCCCCCCATAGGACTATCTTGGTCACCTTGTGATTCCATGTAATTTTGGATCCGGATGATTATTTTTTCAATTGGAAATGTATATAATGATGCAATTGATATAAAGAAGTCACAATCATTATTGATCGTTAAATTTAAAACGCGGTGGTTGAGAACTTGTCATTGTTTTGGCACAAAATCGAAAACAAAATTTCTCAAATGTTGGACACACTTTCATCTATAAGATTTCACATTTAATGGCTAAAAGTGATTGTGAGCTTCTTATACCAAAAATAAATAGACTCATAGTATACAAACCACTTTTCTTTGGGTGTGGTTTCTATAAGGTTGCAACCTTAAACAATCTAATTAAATCACACATCCAAAATTTATTATAACATTTTGTCATAAAAATTTATTAGGATTATCTTAAAAATATATTTTCTTATCTAATTATAAAATTTTAAACTAAAAAAATGATTAAAATTAAGTAGATCTAAAAACATATGAAAATCTTGAAAATAGACAGTCTAGATAACGTGTTACAAGATACAGTGCTTCTGAGACTCAAAATCTTTTTCTTTTTCATATTCATACATCTCGATGAGATGATCAATTAGAAGGTTTGTCAACATTAAAACAACTTTTTCCAATGGATTTTTAAGGTGTATCTGTAATTCTACAGTTGCAACCTTATATAAACTTTTTCCTTTATTTTTTAGTGTGGTTTGCAGCATTAAATAATTAAAGTAAGGTGTGCCACTAAATTTTTATCGTAAGATGTAAATTTGGTGTCAAATTTTTTTAAGATGTCGTGATAATCTATTTTCATTCTTAATTATAAAAATTTAAAACTTTGAAATTGTTCAAGTCAAGTAGATCTATAAACACCTAAAAATCTTGAAAATAGATGGTCTACATAATGTGTTGCAAGACGCACTATTTTTAAGACTCGAATTTTTTTTATTTCTACTCGATGTTGAAATGATCGATTAGAGATTTTTCTAATAGCAAAACAATCTTTTTCAGTAGATTTTCGAGGTACATCTTAATTCTACGTTATAAGGTTACAACCTAATATAAACTTTTTCCTTTTCAATTATCTTCCAACTCCACATACTTCTCCGTTTGAACTAAGTATTCCAACTTGAAAAACCGTAAGCACGTACCAGACCAAACGTTTCGACTTTGATTGAAACAATTGTGCGAGTCTGTGATTCATCGACATCTTTATTGACTCGCTGAGATGCTTTATTTTTACCGGTGTTCGTAAAATCGAACCGGAACGGTTGTCCAGACATGCTGCTGGAGCGGTTTGAACCATAACCGAACTAAGGCAGTTAACCGAACTAACTCCTCAAGTAGGATTGTTTTAAAAAAAAGGGGTTAAAAACACCAAAAAAAAAAAGAAAAAAAAAACTTAGATTACATGTATAATATCTTATTACATACATTTTATCTTACAAAAAAAAATCTGAAACAACTTTTTATAAATTAATATTTGAATACTATCGTCTTGTACATGATCCCAAGCCAGTCACATAAATCTTGTCATTTCCTAGATTAGGATATTCTTTGAAGATATTTTTGTCATGTAACATCTTCTGCCAAGAATTAACATATTCATCCCAAACCTTAGATGAAAAACTTTCTAGTTTCTTTTGTAAAAAAATTGCTCACATTAGGAATGAAAGTTTATAACAAAGTAGCTTGATACTATTAAATCAAATAAAAACACCAACTAATTAAAACAAGAAATAGAAAGGACCTCTTCCATATAGTTAGATAAAGCATAATTCATATAATATTTTTTCAATTAAGTTAAATAAGGCATACTTCACAAAAAGTACATCTCTATGCAACAAAACAAAAAATCATTGTACAACACACTGATATGTTCTACTGTTCTTATATGTTTTTATAGGTATCTACCATATCCAGATCAGTGTGTTGTGCATTGATTTTATCAAAATATAAGAACAATAGAATAGATATTTTATCAAAAAATAAGTTTATTAAGCAAAATAGAAAAATACTTCCTATATTTATCATAAAACATAATTTTATTAAAAAACCATAATTTTATCAAAACAATACTTTCATTAAGCAAAATTGGAAAACAGTTCCCATATTCATCATAAATATTATTTTAATAAAAAATCATAGTTTTATCAAAAAAATAATTTTGTTAAGCAAAATAGAAAAACACTTCCCATATTATCAAAAAACATAATTTTTTATTAAAAAACATAATTTTGTTAGAAAGATAATTTTACTAAGCAATGTAGAAAAAACTTCCCATATTGATAAAAGAAACATAATTTTATTAAGTAAAATTAAATTTCTTTTTTAAAAAAATCAATTTATCAAAATGTGAGGGATGATTTGAAATTAAAATCACATTTATAAAACTCTCTCTCTCTCTCTCTCTCTCTCTGGAATTGGACCATATAGGGATCACCCAGTAACCGATTTTTTAAAAATCGGCTGATCTTTTAAAGACTCTTTCCATAACATTCCAAAAACCTTGAGAGAAAATGGAAAAAAAAAGAAAATGAAAAAGAGAAGAACCAAGCATATACAAGGCGATGGTGCAGTGTTTTATTGAACATAAAGCAACCAAAATTTTTGCATGAATTTTAAAAAATAAAATGTCCCATTTCCATCATTATAAATATAACTATATCATGCACTTAAAAAAACATAATTAAAAAAATTCGAGCAAAAGATTGAGCAACATTATCATGCACTTATCAAAAAGAATAATCAATTTCATCAAAAAAATAATTTATCAAAAAGAATAATTGTATTAAGCAAAATAGAAAACCACTTACCATATTTATACAAAAAACATAATTTTATTAAAAAATCATAATTATTTTAAAAATATTTTTATTAAAAAAAATATAAAAACACTTCCCATATTCATAAAAAAACATAATTTTATTAAAAAAATTATTTTTTAGAAAAAACGATTTTTCAAAGACCCCTAAAATCAAACAACATTTCGAGCAAGAAACGACTCTCAATGTTTTGATAATCAAACAAATAAACATACATGTATTGTAAAGGCTTTCGATCATCTTTCAAACGCATCAAATCTCATAAAAAAATATTTTGTATTTTTAATTTAATTGAAAAAATTGCGGAAATTTCAGGTCTCTAAAAATTTCATGATATAGTGCAACAAAAAAATTCATATAAAAAAATTTAATCAATCATAAATAGACATAACTATTTTATTTGAGTGATTAAGCCTTGATGATCAAAATCCACAACTCACTTTGATAAAAACCGACCAATAAATTGATCAAAAATCTGTTTTTTTGGATCGAATATAGGTTCTTTTGAGCAGCAGCATTTCGGGCAGAATCAACCTATAATATTTGGTTTTTTGAAAAAAATGAAATATGAATATGATAAATACTTCGATTATCTATCAAACCCACCAAATTTCTTCCAAAACCATTAGGTATTGAGGAAATTAAAATCCGCCATTGCGATACAAAAAACTCTTGTTTCGATGTTTCAATCTAAATTTATTGTTTTATAGATTCTAGATAGTGATTTACAGCAATAAATCACGAAAAAAAATAAAAAAAACACAAAACGAATAAAAAAGTGAAAATTTGGACTCAAGAATGCCGGCTACAAATAATAGCCCCGATTTTAAAATAACGGATGTAACGGGTACATCACCGTTATATCGGAAAACACACGTTATATCGTCTAACCGGTCGATGAGCATAAAACAGACCGTTTTTTTTTTTTCTTTTTTTTTTTTTAAAAAAAAAAAAACCCGTTCGACGTCTAATCGGCCGGTTTTTGCACACAATGGTTTTTACACGTTCTGCTTTGCAATGGGGGTCAGGCAGGAATATTTTAGAGAGAGAGAGAAAGATAAAGAGAGGAGGTAGAGAAAGAAAGGGAGCTTTCTGAGACAGGAAAGCCCTCGCGAGAGAGATATGGCTCAGAAGAAAGGTGGAGGATCGGCCAAGGTTGCAGATGTCGCTGACATACAGGCTAGAGACCCCTTGCAGGCCGTTCTCTTGGCCGATAGCTTCACTCAAAGGTTTCGACCCATTACTCTAGAGCGCCCTAAGGTTCTTACTCTTTTCCCCTTTCTCTCTCTTCTCTGTTTCTCTCTCTACTCAACTTAATTAGGGTTTTATGGGATACTCAAAACCTGAAACTGTCAAACATAGGCATTGTGAGTGATCTCTGCTTTATGCAATCAAAACTTCTGTTCGAGATGGTGCCAAAGTGTCATACCGCTTGATGCTTCAAGTATACGCTGGTTTCGGAATTAAACCTTAAGAATTATTCGCTATTCACTTTAGTTACAACATGATTCAATTTGTATTCAACTTGAACTTTGAAGATGGAGTTAGTCAGTTGAGAAGTCCTGTTATTAATGCTTTAAAGATGGTGGTGGTTTCTAATTTCAATTCTACTGCAGGTTCTTCTACCACTTGTTAATGTTCCTATGATCAAGTATACTTTGTTGTGGCTTGAATCTGTTGGGGTTGAAGAGGTCTTTGTTTTTTGTTGTGCTCATGCCAAGCAAGTGACGTCCTATTTGGAGAATAATGGTTCGTTTGGCAGTCCCAGTTTCAAAGTTACAGCAATCGAGTCGAATGACTCCATCAGTGCTGGTGATGCATTACGGACTATATTTGAGCGTGGTGTGGTATGGGATTTTGACTTTTGGTATCTTAGATTGCTTGTTTGTTATCCAGATTGCGATTGAAGCTGATAAAAATACAAATTCATTGTGAGCCATTCATTTCAAAAGCTTATCGTAAATTAGTTTGCTTGTTTGTTGTCGAGACTTGTGAATGTCATCAGCTCTTGCTTATTGTTGAGCATATTGCTTGTTCTGTAAGTGAAATCTTTGGGGGTCATTTTCAATTTTTCATTGTTTCTTGTTTTCCATTTTCGGGTACTGTAATGACTAGAATGAACATGAGAAATGTTGATTACAAATATTGAGTTGACCAGAAGCACAAATTAATATGTTAAAAAATAAAATAAGGAACAGAGACATGTGTCCTTTGTGACCTTTGTTCATAGATATACCAAACCAAAGCATTGTGATGCTTAACTCAATGCATTAAATTTATAAGAAAACTGTATGAATTGATGTCTTATCTTCTCCGTTGTGTTACCTTGTTTCCATTTTTTCCAATTAGCTGCCTAAATTTTTTTGTTTCTATAGCTTGAATCAAATCCAATGTATGATTTCTTTAAATGAATTTCAAAGGAATACAAGTAGCTCTGACATGAAGTTCAACATAAAAATGAATTCTTTAAATGAATTCCAAAGGAATACAAGTAGCTCTGACATGAAGTTCAACATAAAAATGATTTCTTTAAATGAATTCCAAAGGAATACAAGTAGCTCTGACAAGAAGTCCAAAATAAAAATGATTAAATTCATGAACATGGTTGCTATTTTTCGTTTTGAGTAAACATTTTGGTTACTTGGCCCACCTAAATGGCTAATGTTAGTGTATATTTCTTTCATATTTTCTTGTCTACTAAATAGCATTCCATGCCAGAAGGTGATTTATGACTTATTGATCTATGACTTATTTTTACTTCTGGTGGCAATGATGTTCATTTCTACTCGCTTTTGTAGCTATGTATCTCACCTAATGAACTTTCATATTGTTGTGCTGAAGATAAAGGGAGATTTTGTGCTCATAAGTGGTGATACTGTGAGTAACATGTCTTTAACACAAGCCCTTCAAGAACACAAGGAAAGAAGGAAAAAAGATCCACTTGCTGTAATGACAATGGTTATCAGACAGTCCAAACCTTCGCCGATAACAAATCAGACTCGACTTGGTAATGATGAACTAGTTTTAGTTATCGATCCTGAGAGCAGCCAGCTTCTCTATTACGAGGAGAAGGCACAACATTCAAGAGGGGTTGTTTCTATTGATAGGACATTCCTGGCTGATAGGCCTGCCATTTGTATTTATAATGATAAGCAGGTTTTTTTTCTGATCTGAAGTAATTTTGAATTACATTTTAATTTCTTTAGATGCATTGTGTTCAAACCACTAGTCTTGCTATTCGAATCAGCATTGTGTTCAAACCACTAGTCTTGCTATTCGTGATTCGATAATGGTCTCTTAATCTTTACTACACATGTCATGACAGATGCATGTCTTAGATTCTTTAAGGGGTGGCATTGAATGCTGATACCGGTTGTTGTGGTTGGGTAGCTATTTATGTGTTTGACACTAGTGCACATGCTTGTGTCCATGCAACATAGGTGGGTAGAAGGAAACATTTTTTTGTGGGTAGAATGGAATTGTTCTAAAGCATCTAGTGTAAGTGTTTTTGAGTATGAAATGGATTGAGTATCATAGCAATCGCTTTGCAATGCCTTCTGTTTTAGGAGCCAGCTCTTACACAATAAGGTGGCTGATCATCTTGGTGTGAATCCTTCAAATAATAATTTTGCTGTCAGGGCTTTTATGATTGACTTGTGATTGTCATGACCGATATGCTTCTTCATAAGCATTATGAAGCCCATCAGTTTTTTAATGGTTAGCTCTGCTGCATCAAATTTGATGACTTCATTGTGGTTTATAGAGGTTGACTGGTTTATTCTAAAAAACTCAAATTTAGCTTGAACTCATAAAGAATGCCAATGGTATGAAAAGGGCTTGGATCCAGATGGTAGAGGCTAGGTTTTCATAGCCCAACGTCTCAAGTTCCATTCATATCTAACCATGTCAAAAAAAAGAAAAGAAAAAAAAACGACAAAAGAATGTCAATGGTGCAAAATTGGTGGCTCACTAAAACCTTGTTTTTGGTTTTATATATATGTACACATACACACGCACGCACCCAGGTATGCAGATATATATATATATATATATATTGATTTTGTTTTTACCTTTTAGTCTTAGATATCTTTGCTAAATCATTTTTCTACCTAAGCCATCCTTAGTAATGACCGATAGTCTTTATGTTTATATACAGGACTGCTTCATTGATATTTGTTCCCCAGAGGTTCTTTCTCTTTTCACAGACAATTTTGATTATCAACAACTTCGTCGTGATTTTGTCAAAGGGTTGCTTATGGATGAGGTAAGATTCATGCATACCTATCCATTTTTCATTTGCAAACCAACTTTTTTTTCTTTTTGTAACTCTGTACATAATATATTATCAGAAATCTCATCCTATTTGCTGTGGTCATACTTGCCATTTTGATGATTTGATTGGATTAAAACGTAGCATACAAGTTTGAAGAGCATAATCCGTAATGGTACCTCATTTCAACTTTTGTTTTTTTTAAAGTGATGACATTTGGAACACTGATTTTGGATGTGCCTGTTGGACACATGGTTTCCAAAGTGTGTTCTGGTCAAATAATGTGTGTCATCACTTAAATTAGAACTAGGTAGGGTAAGTCAACAACTTTGGGCCCTCAACTTCTCTTATGGGTGTACAATTTGAAACTCCTGGGTTCGAGCCTTCTAACTGGTTTTGCTGGTTTTTTTTCTATTCAGAATATTTGGACCCATATTATGCAAGCAATCTGCAATTTATATTTTCATGAGCAAAATTAAAGTGAACCCATCTTTCTACTGATGATTATATATAGCAGATATATTATTGTTATTTCATGCAAGAGGGTTCTGATGACATGTTGGGCAGATAAGAAACAAATTGAAATATACATCACTTGAAATGTTTAAGAAAAAAAAATGGGCAAGATGGATCGTCCACCCACTGATCTATGTTGGAATGCTAGATCGACGATCGGGATTGACAATCTGGCAAAAAAAACCAAAAAATAAAATGAAGTCTTATACCCCTTTGAGCTCTTGGTGGGGTTCGAACCCCCAACCAAGTGCTTAAAATGCATGCATGCTACACAAGTTGCCTTTATTAATTATGATAAAAAATATTTATGATTTATACTAACTATTTATCCAAAAAAAAAACCAACTATGGTACATATTATATACTTATTAAACCGCCTGATTTAGACAAGGAAGTGGTGCGGTGCCCACCAATTCCCGATCCATATCACATTTTTTTGGCATTTGTTAGTTGTGAGGAATTGTTTTAATTATAGTCCACTATTCCTAATGCAGAATAAGCTGCACTTATGTGAAGTCTTGTGAAATAGTTAAATAACAATTTCTTGTGAAGCATTTATGGGGTGTTCTCGTAGCAGCAACATCATCACCATCGTAGATTCAGGATTCATGGAAAGTTTTGTTAAAGTTTTATGTTGGCCGCCTACCTAACACAATCCACCTTCTTTACCCGGGCTTGGGACATGTTAAGGGAAAGTTTAAAGTCCTCACCCTTCTTAGACTCAAGGTGTTCTAGCCGCATCACATTGAATTTGGGCCTAATTCAATATTATCATATTGAATTTAATTTATCATTTTTTCGAATGTTAATTATTCCCATTCATTTCGAACCAATCGATGTACAAGTAAATTTCCTATCTATAAAAATGAGTCTATTTATATGAGACTATTATTGTACCACCACACATTTGACAAATACTATTGAACATGAAGTTCTATAAAATGTACCGAGTACTCACAAAATAATGTTTGCTATCATAGAAGGTGTTGAGATCCCGCTTGCCAAAGCATTGACTTCTCTCTTGTAATGCTTTATGAATGTCGCTAGTTGGCTCAACCTATCTCAACTCTCATTAAAGAAGTTGGATAGTCATGAAAGGTAAGATTTCCCTTTTTGAGCTAGGTTATGACATTGCTTGAGTCGTCTTCTATGAATATTTAGGACCAATTTGGGTTGAGATTCTTTAAACCGAAGAGCAGGGCACGTGCCTCTGCTTCATGGGAGTCGTATGTGTGTAATGAGGCATAATATGTCAGGGGGGTTCTTTTGCGGTTGTCTCTTATAATAGCCCCTTCACCCGTCAGCTTAGGATTCTCCATTGAATTCCAATCAAAATTTAACTTCATAGTCCTTTTTAGTGGCGTTGTCCACTTTTCAACCTTCTTCTTCCTTTTAGTGTTTTTATTGACAATGCCTTCCATCGATTTTCGAATCTGTAGTTGGAAAACCCCAAAATTCTTCCCGTACTTGAGCCTATTATGTTACATGACCTTGATATTGTCTTTTTTTGATTGAGTCTCGTGTCTTTTATCTCTGATACAACTTCTGTTTCTTTCACGCCATATGACCCTTAATACACCCACCATGTTTCCATGGTAGTAGTCCCAATTTTGGCAATGTTGGATTGAATCACTGTGCGGATAATGGTTTGATTGGAGGAGGCATACAAAATCAAGCCGACCTAAAACCATGCCCCATATGTCTTGTGCCATTGTACATTGTAAAAGAAGTGGTCATTGTTTCTTCATTCTATTTGCACATTAAAAAGTGTTAGAGGATGGACATGCCTCTAATAGTCAAGCACACAAAGGCCTGTGTTTTTAGGGGGGATGGGATGGTCCTGCATCTTCCTAGTAGCATGAATGGCATTGTTGGTTATGGCATGGTACATTGAATTCATTGAAAGGTCTCCTTGACTCTCAAATGTCCACAATCCAGATTAGACTTTCCTACTTGACCTGAAAAATACTTCTTGTAACTCTACCATCATCATCATTGTCCGATCCTCATACCAATTGTCTGGGCTCTGCTACATGAATCCTGTTTCGCTATTCCACTTTATCAAGGGCCATACGCTCAATCTGACCAAAAGTCACCATCTTCTCACTACTATTGTCCATGCCCTTTTGGGCCTTCATATTACCCTTTTAAGCCCTTGTTCTAGATATATTGTTTCTTGACTGCCCAACATCCGTCCATAAAGCATGACTTGTCTTACAACCATCCTATATTACTTCCCCTTTAGTTTTATTGGTATGTGACGATCAGATAAGACTCCATAAGCACATCTCCACTTCATCCATCCAACGATAGTTCTATGCACACCTTCTTCAATCTCTCTATTGTCATAGATTATCGACTCAAGATATCAAAAATAATATCTTTTTGGTACTTCTTGGCTATTAATCTTAACAAATTCCTCGTTTCTACTTCTGTTATTCCTAAACTTGCATTCCATATATTTTATCTTAGTCCGGCTAATTTTAAAAGCCTTTAGATTCTAGAGCATTCCTCCAAAATCCTAACTTTGTGTTGCACCATATCTAGTCGCATTAATCAAAGCTATGTCATCTGCGAGTAACGTACATCACGGTGCTCCATCCTGTAGATGCCTAGTTAGTTTGTCCATAACCAAAGTAAAGAGATATGGCACAATATCCATGATGTAGGCCTATTATCACTGAAAACTCACTTCTCTTTTGATGGAGATCTAAGCACATCAAGTAGCCATGAGTATCTTCTTTTGGAGCGACAGATTCCACCTAATATTTGCTCATATTTGGAGGATGAAAACCCTAGGAGGGCTTCAAAGAAGAACAAGAAGAGCAAGAAATAGTTTGGGTGTTTTTTTTAGTTTTTTGAGGCTATTTTAGATTTTTTTTTAATTTATTTTATTGATGGACCAGTTGGGGACTTTTTAGATATTTTAATTAAAATTAAGGAGTTTAGTTTCAAGTTATATTTAAGTTAGGACATTTTGGTCAAAAGTTAATTGAATGGACAAATATTGTAGCAATAATTTCCAATATAAATAAGGGCATGGATGGGCTTGAGAGTCATTCATGTATTCCACTTTAAGAAAACAAAGACTTTGTCTTGTAAAAGAAGCCTAAGGCTTGAGCCCTAGGTGGGAGAAAGCCTTAGGGTTTTTCCAAAAATCCTTGTGTCAAGGTGCTTATTGCTGATTTTTTATGTTTCTTCAAGTTTTCCTACATCATCTTTCCACTAGTATCGTCACACTAGTTAGCGCTCTCGCATACACATCCCTCACTGTGTCAATATATCTCCTAGATACTCCATTCTTTTCCAACACTCACTAAGTTATGTAATTCTCCTATAGTTCGTACAATTATGTAATTCTCACTTGTTCTTGTAAATAGGTATCGCAATACTTTTTTTTCTATTTGCCCAACATTTGTTTTGTTCTCAAAATTTTGTTGAGCAACTTGGTCAACCTGGATATACCAATCTCTTCCATGCATTTCCAAACCTCTATTGGAATACTATATAGTCTTAAAGCCTTGCATATCTCATATTTCTCAAAGCTTCTTTTAGTTGAGATATCCTAATCGGCTAATCCACGAATTTATCTATGACATTCAATGTCATTTATGTCGAAGGTTCCTCCTAACTGATGCATCCCTAAACCTAGAAGAAGAAATATGGAAGTTAAAAAAAAAAAAACCCTAGAACAAAAATGAATTACTACCCAAAGTAATCTCAAGATAATTTCTCTGGAAGGACCTTGGGAAAATCTTGATAATTTCTCTCTAGAGAAATCGTCCTCATAAATGCAAACCTACCAAATCAATGGCTAGGATTTTTCCTATGGAATTGATGGCCAAGATTTAGCAATCGTTGGCTGCCCAATTTAGCGTGTAAATACTCCCCAAAGGGGATCATTCCAACAGATCAGAATTGATCCTCAAGTCTTAAGTGAGAGCGAGAGTCAGAGATTCCTCTCTAAGTGGTGAGTGATTCCCACTTGAGGTTGAGAGATACCTTCTCGTTTTCCCCTTTCTTTCCTATGAAATACAATTGTGGTATGCTTTGTATTAAAATAAAAGAGTACAATTATTATTTATTCAAAAAAAAGAGTACAATTAGTCCCTGGTGTCCTATCCCTTATTCCTTTGGCTTTAGAATACATCGCTAATGCTGTGCTCTATTACATCGCTAGCACTGTGCTCTCATATCGGTCATCATTTAACAATTTTTGAAAATAACTTCTCTACCTTTCATTGACCTCGTCGTCCTTCAACAAGACTCTCGAATCCTCACTCTTAATGTATTTAACATGATCTAGATCCTTGCACTTCCTCTTTTTCATTTTTGCTAGTTTGGAGACATTTTTTTCACCTTCTCTTGTCCCAAATTTATTTGTGTATAAGCTTTAGCCTTACTATTTTCTTAGTGTTCTTGGGATTTGTATATTCTTCTAAGTTTTGATCATTTCTATTCTATTGTCAAGCGCTAAG